AGTTGTCACTTGTATTTTCTTTCTTCAATCGAAAGAAAACCCATTTTGTGTAGAAGCTGTCTGTTTGAAGCACAATCTTCATTTAAATTCACGTCAAATAACTTATTTAAAGAGCGACCAGCGAGTCAGGAATACGGTAATAACGCATATCTACACAAATCGATTTTTTGGTAGATTGATTGCAGATTAACCCCCTATCCCCTCGGAATTTCCAAGCTACTTTAACCCCCTACCCCTTCGGAATTTCCGAAATCCTCCGTGGTGGGGGTATGGATATTTTCTGGAACTACACATTAATTATCTCTTTTTAGTTCTAACTGCAATAATAATTCCCATTGGCTTTTACACAGACTCATTCATATTTATTCCAATTTTCATTAAGATGCTGTTGAATAAGAATTAAAATTTGTAGATATGGGCTAAAAATAAAAGCTTTTTTAATGCTTTTCCACTAGAATATGTTGAACCATACATCATTGGTGTTCTTCCAAGATATGCAGAAGTGCGCACAATAAGCCCAAGAGCAAACATTCAAAGTATAGAGCTTCAAAAGCCACGATATATAGCCAAAGGAAAACATGTTTACATTGCATCAATGTCACATGTATGGCAGCTTGTTCCTGTGTCTATTCCTATGCAGATACAACAGCTYYTGCAGGCTAAAGAATTCAATTTAGCCCTTATGCTTGCTGTAAGTACATTTTCATGATAACTCAGTTAAAACTAGAAAATTATGTCATCCTCACTACTGAAAATGTTAAATAACTTGCCATAAAACTGGATAATTTGTTAAGTTTTTTTTTGTCCGGCTTAATCCCAAATACAGAGTTTATCTCAAGAACCATCTGCTGAAAAGGCAAGGCGTATAGATAACATTCAGAATCTATATGCATTTGAATTATTTTGTCAAAAGAGATTTGATGAATCRCTTCAGTTGTTCGCAAGACTGCAAACAGGTATTTACAGGTTTATTACCCAACGGCCCCCTCCCCCTCCCAAAGCCATCTATCCATCCTTCTACTCTACTCTATTTCTTCCTTCACTATTTTTCAACATCACTTCCCATCTCGTCCTCCATCTCATCTTATTTTTCACTCCACATTTTCACTGTCSTTCACTCCTTTCTTGCAACAATCCTCTCCTTCACATTTCCACTTGTTTTATTCTTTCCATTTCCTCTTTATTTCCCTCCTTCATCATTTCTTTCATATATTGGCTGGAGTAAATATGCAATCATGAATTCATGAATTTATATTTTTAGATCCAGCACAAGTCATAGGTTTATTCCCTGATCTTTTACCAAACGAATTCCGTAAACAGCTAGAATATCCTGATTCTAAACCTGATCTGAAACCAAGTGAAGTTGAAAAAGGCTATGTTGCCTTAATAGAGTATTTAACTCAGGTARGTCTAGTTGAAATAGTGCTGTGCAACAAGCAAACTTTGATTTGAATCCTGATTCAGAAGTATCAGTCAATCATATAACTCAYATCGTTCTTTCAGAAACGCAATGAACTCATAAAAGCAACTGATAAATTTGAGGAAAGCAAGAAACGGAATCAAGTGGAATTTAAACCGAGTGAAGGTGCTTATGTACTTCCAAACATGTCTAACATTTACCGCTAGACCTATGTTTGTTCTGTGTACCTAGTWGGAAATAAAAACTGAGTAAATGAGCARGCGGGTTTGATGTCCATGATATCTAGAACATCTTTTACTAAAACGACATTTAAGGCCACACAAAATTACTTGGCATCACGTTTGCTTGCAAGGATTTTTCATGTAATGTGTTTTTGGCATATCTTCATTTMTAGASGAAATAAGAGCGCAAAAGAATTTAAGACAAAGACAGCAGATAATAGACACAACTATGCTTAAGTGCTATTTACAGGTATAAGCTATATTATCAATACTAATAATAATATCAAAACTATATAGTGTTTAAGTTTCTGGTATAAAATAAATGGTTGTGACATCCTATAATTTCAGACAAATGATGCTTTGGTAGCTTCCTTGTTGCGAYTAAAAGACAACAATTGCCATGTTGAAGAAAGTGAAAGGGTTTTGATGCAGCATAAAAAATATAATGAACTGGTTGTCTTGTACCAGACTAAAGGCCTCCATAAAAAAGGTTAGAGAAACACGGCTAATGGACTAAGTTTCAGTGGCGGATCCAGGGGGGTTACATGGGTTCCTAGGAACTCCCCTCAAACATTAAAAAAAAAATACGATAAATGAAATGTGGGTGTATTTACATTTGCTACAGGTCGAGAGGCACAGTAAAAAAGTTTGGTTTAGGAAAATGTGAAAACAAAGTGGAACCCCCCTTTGAAAAATCCTGGATCCGCCACTGAGTTTATGTTTTTTTTATCTCATATTTCTCAACCCACACCTATAATTCTTTATAATGGGCTATACATGATGCAGTTTTCAGCATTCTCTTAGCTGTGGTGTTTATCAGTGTTTATATTGGGTTATCATGAGTTGAATGAATAATATAAGAAAGCCCTCAATCTCATTATGACTGAATTTCTGTAATGACAAAATCATCTGATTCTTTAGCTTTAGATCTACTTCTGAGACAGGCACAAAAGGCAAGTGGACCTTTAAAAGGMCATCAAAAGACAGTCCAGTATCTACAGAGACTAGGCAAGTACTCTGTTATGGTTGCATTAAGATCCAACCAGCAAATTATAATCTTCTGAGGCTACTCAAGGCTGAATATTTACAGTGTTTATAGAGAAAATGTAATCATAGGCTATGGAAAAAATATCATCCTGTTTGTAACCATACAAACAATCTTCAGGAGGTTTTTCATTTTATAAACCTTGGAAAACTGACTAGTAGATACTTGAAGGCATTTTTTATAAAAAATTGAATCAGTAGCAAACTGAATCATACTGTTAAACAACCAGAATTAAAATTCATCTGAAGTTTACTTACAGAGATTGTAGAAAAACTGGAAGTTACCCCCCCCTCCCCCCTCCCCCCTCCCCAAATTATATAGGTTACTAGAAAAAGGACAGCATAAAATGCTCTGCTTATAATCCAAGTACATTTATAGTGTTGTTTTCAAAGTTTCGACCTATAAGTAGCAATTTTTTAATTCTTTGTAAGTTATGTTATGTTTGTAAGTTATGAGTTGTAAATGCTTGCCTGTAGTTATTTTTATATTCAATGCATATGCTCTTCTTGTCTTGCATTTAGATTTTGTCTCATTTTGACTCAGCACCATATGCACTAGTCCCTTTTTAAACTAAGATTGAAGCAAATACAAAGTTCTGCCATCATCTCATCTTTTTCAGATCTTAAGGAGAAAATTTCATTAATTTACAGATTGCAAAATTTAACATTGGTTAATTTGTTATTTTTAGGACAAGACCACCTTAAGCTTATATTTGATTTCTCAGTGTGGGTATTAAAGGCTCATCCAGATGATGGTTTAAAGGTATGTACARAAAAAGAACAGACAAGACAAAGCAGACAATGCTTTCAAACATTGCTGRGAACTGGTGTGTTTATTGCTACATAAGGTGAACCTATACAGCCAATTTTTTTGTAACCGTAAAACAGCACAGATCTGTCATGGCACAAACTATAAACACCACAGTGACAGAAACTTCCAAAAATACACCATTAGTAGAGCACTGGCATTAAAAGAATAGAAAAGATCATAGCTACACTAGTACAGCTGTGACAGCACTACATTTTGACAGTATGATTCATAATCATCTTGCATGTCATCCTTTGGAAATAATATTCAAATTTAAATAACTTTTAATAAAAATCCTTTTCTTGCACAGATATTTACCGAAGACTTGCCAGAGGTAGAAAGTTTACCTAGAGATCAAGTTTTAGAGCACATTGAACAGAATGCAAAGGGTTTAGTCATCCGATATTTGGTAAGGCCTTTTTACAACCCATAAACTAAAAATAAGAATTGAAAATAGGGGTCTTGTAATTTTACTATTAATTTCTCTGCAGGAGCATGTAATTTTTATTTGGTTTGAGACAAATCCAAARTTCCATAACAAGTTGATCAATTGTTATCGTGACAAAGTTCAATTACTAATGAAGGAATATATTGACTCTTTGCCAGAGGGTGAGTGAATTGAATAATTGAATTTTTTACACACTTGTTTACACAGTGATGCCACTTTTCCCTGTCTTTTTTGATTAAGATGAGAAAGGTCGAAGTCTATTGTGATGGTTTGAATAGAGATAATTGGAATAATTGGAAGAACAAGAAAATGAGAACTGACTGCATACTAGCCACTACATTCCCTTTGTACTTTATTAGAAATTATTAGTCCTAAGTTCATAATATTATTAATATAAATAATTTGCTTTTTTATCATTTTTTTAGATGAGACTCCTGTACCACCTGGTAGTGAGCCTGGTGAACTGGGTGAATTGCGTGGTCGCTTATTATTTCTCCTTGAAACTTCCAAATATTACCAAGCAGAAACCTTGTTAACACACTTTCAAGAATGTAAGTCTTTGTTCCTRCAACCTGATGTTTCTCAAAAAATAAGTAAAAAAAAGAGAAAAATTGAAAAATAAGTTTTCATAAAAAGTAGTAGATTACAAGGTTTAAAATTGCATTATGCTCARTGTTAATGTTGGGTTGTAGCAAAAAAGTCATATAACGTTACAAATACAATCGTGCTGATTTGAAAACATGTACTTATTGTTAATTAATAGCTCATTTTAAAGTATTCATACAAATAATTATCATATTGTGGGAAGTTTCAATGATCTTGTATTTTTTGTTAAAGCATTTTACCACGAACGAGCATTGCTTCTTGGACGTGTTGGGCGCCATCAAGAAGCTCTYGCTATATACATCCATATGCTTAAAGATCCACGACTAGCAGAAGAGTAAGTGTCTTATATTAAAAATACACTACAGTTGTCATATTTATTGCTATGGGAGACGCACTAATAGTTCCAATATGAAACTTTAAAGAATCATAACCAACCKCTGTACCTTGCGCGCTCGTATTATTGTTTACATATGTTTAAATGCGTCAAGCATACAATAAATTAYAGATTGATAGTACCTGTGAGGTACTTAGTGAAAGATATTTCTGTCCAAACTGAAAGGAYGGAAGAMGATTCCCGCTCACTTTAAGAAATCCTACRAATCCGCCATTTTCTTGTCCACCTAAAATGGYRTTTTGKCTCGCAAGGTAYGGCRGTTGGTTATGATTCTTYAAGTAGTGCAAAATACWAGGTCTTGATTTATWTTTTTATATGGTTTTGTCATTCATTTTAGGTATTGTCTTCGTACKTACTCAGAAGAACGTGAAGGAAGTAGTGAAGTGAGTATCAAATTTCTATAAATTAGGACAAGCAAGCAAATCATATTGCTCCAATGAAATTCTCTCTTAGCAAGTTGCCAGTTCTAAAATTAATACACCTGCCCAACATCCAAAAGACCCTACATGCACACATTAATTGTACTGGCTGTTACACAAATAAATTCCCCCCAACTAAAAAGTCTTGCACAGACAAAATCATCCCCCAAAAGTAATATTTTATAGCCTTTTGCATTCTAGAGTGAAGTTGTTAAACCAGTAAACCAAACTTTGACTATTATAGCATCAATATTAGACTTTAAAAATAAAATTAGAGGGTACTGACTCAAGGTATCTATTTTACTGTTTTTTTTCTACCTCACTCTAACACTGTTATTGATTGCAGGTCTATGTGTCCCTATTGCGCATGTATTTGGAGCCTCCAAACATGAAGGATCTGAATGCAAAAACAAAYATACCAGCAGCATTAAATGTACTGAAACAACATCATCAGAAAATAAGCACAGCAAAGGTAATGAACCTTGCTTTTGTTCAGTTTTATAATAAGAAAGTTTCTTGTGTATATTTATTCTTTTTCTTGATGTGATCTAGGCTCTAGAGTTGCTGCCCCCAAATATTGAAGTGCGYGAAGTTTACGACTTTTTAATGGATGTCTTGGAAAGTAAAGAAACTAAAAGGAAACGCAGTCAAATGCTTAGGAGCTTGCTGTTTGCAGAACACCTTCAGGTTATATCAAATTGCTATCTATACAGTTCTTCTTTTCGCTATGATGTTGGTTACTTTATGGTTCTGTTACATACATTTGAGTTGCCATTCTGGAAGGCTCCTTTTTGGCAGGCAAATCAGACTTGTACACAGAAAGTTAAATAAAACTTTTGTGAAAACCCATTTAGAGCTTGTTCACTGTTGATCCAAAGTTGGACCAAAGTTAAAACCCCTGTGCATACCCCTGATGTACATGTATTATGCTGTTCCAGTATCTTAATTTACTAAGTTATTTTCTTAGCTAATCCAGGTTTGCTTTACTCATATGGTATATTTTATTTATATTTTGATCTATTTTCTTTGCATTAGGTTCAGGAGCAAAGAATGTTCTACCAAGGTCATAAAATCGTACTGACAGAGGAGAGGGTGTGTAGAGAATGTCACAGAAGAATTGGAAACAGGTAATTGTCTCATTTTAATAGATATATAATTATTATAATTATAATTATGAGTCTATAATTATGCATAAAATAATACCCAGCTAAAATGTAACAAATATGATATTTCTAGTGCATTTGCTTGCTATCCAAGTGGGGAGATCAAGCATTTTTATTGCTACAARGATCCAAATGTTTCTGCCATTCAAGATATCACAGCAGTGGATAGTACATGAAGTGTTAGGTACAGTGATTTCAGAGTCCTTTTAAGGAAAAYGTCAGGGTGAGACTATTACCTCTAGATAATATTACACCTGTTTGCAAAAATGTTGCCACCAGAGAAATAAAGTATTTTGTACTTTAGTTAGAAGGAATACATTTTTAAAGAAAACAAAAAAATAATGTTTGAACAGCATGATGATAGTATTTTTCTAAAGATCAAATGTTTTATTTCTCCTGCRATTAGGTGTACAGTAAACCAATTTTCAAATTACTTTTCTGTGAAATAATGATTGTGTTTTAGACATTTTTGTTTTATGGGTTGTATTTATCGATCTACATACCATAGTTAGTACTCTACTAACTGTGTACATACAGAGAGAGAGAAGTATAAGACTGTTTATATACAACATAGCTCAATAAGTGGATTCGTCCTTCAGGATAAAACTGAATATTCATAAGTCATTATCAAATTCATTAATAATTCATAAGGTAAACACAATGGAAAATCATTGCCATGACCACATCTTTATATGAGCAAGAGATTTCTCCTGATTTGCATACGACTTTAAATTCGATTTTCTCTTACAAATGATATTTTATCCTGAGAAATTTTTTTTCGCTTTAACTTATGTTGGAATTTGATAAGTAATATAAAATATATACATCCAACCTTTATGGGCTATAAAACTGCTTGCTTTCAGCTTGCAGTTTTAAATGCCCATAAAGCTAAGTTCTCCTGCTCATATTTTATATATTCTGTAAAAGACTGAGAGAATCATTTTGCTACATTTTACTACAGTATTTCATTATTGAAATTATTAATCTTACACATAATGCTAATGTGAAAATTGAATTTTGCTTATTGGCTCAGGCCAGCAAGATAATGTTGTGAATTGCCACCTTGCATTCAAACATTGAATAATATTGCTTGTTAATTCTTTGCTTTTTAATTGGTCATCTGTTTAATAATSTCCTTCACAATTCTCTGTGTCACAATTGAAGCATTATAAGTAATATAATATACAATATGAGCGGGCGATCTGTATGAGGATTTAAAACAGCGAGCTGAAAGCGAGCTGTTTTAAACCTCATACAGATCGCCCGCGAATATTGTATATTACTTATGAAACGTTGAGGTAAACTAGCTCAGGTTTTAAAGAAACTTTTGAAAAAAAAATCAATCTGACCGAGAAAATCAGAGTTAAAGTTTATGCAAATGAGCAAGAAATCTGTATGTAATATACAACTCTCTTCATGGGCTATGATTTCTATTGTGTTTTGCCTTATGAATATTAATGAGTTTTATAATATTGCATACTGGCTACCTTTTAATAATAAGAAGTTCATATTCAGCACCATTGCCATTGGGCTACACAATGAAGTAATCTATTAACCCAATAAATTCTAAGCAAGGATTGAGCTAGCTCCAAAAGCCTGCCAGGTCTACTAATAGTCATGACAGAAATATTAAGGATGTTATTATTACAGTTCCCTAGTAACATAATCTTGAAAGGTACTGCATCCAAGTATTGCAATTTAGTGAGCAGTCATTGATAAAAACGTTCATTAGGTTACCTCGGTTCCAGAGTATTGTCTGATATTTTCTCTCTTCACTGTTGTTTTTGTTGGYGAGAAGATATGTGTTCAAGCCAACAAAAGCAATAGCAAAGAGAGGAAATATCAAGCATCTGGAACCAGGGTATACTTAGGCAAAACATACTAGGACCATTTCAAACTCAGCAGTTATTTGGCACATATTTTACCTTTTCCAGTTGGCAAAGGAATTGTGAAGGAAATAATTCAAATCTGTCTCTATCCATTGTGAGGATTATACATTATACATGAAAGAGGTGAAAATTAAACTAGTTAGTATAGATATTTTAAAATTTAGGTAAACAACTAAATGATATCATTGGGTATTGTAACATTAAAACACTTTTTTTTCTCAAATTAAATTGCAATACTTACAATTTACTTTATATATTAATAGGGTATTTTAAGAATTAAACAATGATTTAAACTATGATTCTATTTATCTCAAATTAAATGGTGGTTTTGCACCTGACCATTCACTCTGATCTTGACACTTGACTGATTCTATTGAATAGTCTCAATCCCATGCGCCATGATAGATACACAGCCTATTGGTGAACTTGGCCAAGGTGGATGCCTAGTTTCTTCACACTTCTAGACTGTACACTGACTGAGCACTGATATCTATTATTACAAGCTCTTACCTCAGTCTAACTTCACAACTTCAATGCATAGTTAGTAGAGGGAGATATGGTWAGGAGACCTGGCAAACTTCAAAGGGGCATATCTTTGTCCAGGTTTATTTATTCTCACTCCACTACGTTCAATGCAAATGCACAGCTTTATTTCGAATGCAATGAGAACAGTGAATTAAACTAAGGAAACTACTGGGTTTCTCTTTATTTAACTAGTTGCTTCCATGACAGCTTTGCTACATTTTTACCACTGCCTTCCAGTGTTTCTCACTTGAACAGTGTAATATATACTTAATAGATAACACAAGATAATTAATTTTTATACAAAACTTGATAGACACCTGAGGCAAAGAGAATACAAAATATGTGCTAAGAGATTTTGATACTTAGAAGGGTTATAAAGGCACATGTGCRTCCCAGAACCATTGCGATCTCATGTTCTGCTTTACAAAATAATAATCTCATATTGAAAATTGCTGAAAATCAAATATGGTAAATTTTGGGATGTGAGAAAATTGTGCAAAGATTATTGAATCCACTTGGGCCTTAATTCATAATAACATAATTCTTAACAAACTTAAAGACAACAAACAATATTACAAGGAAAGATAAAGGGATTTTATTGTATGAATGGTAATCTTTGTTGCAAGATAAAGTGGCAACATTGTTATGTTACAGTATTTTATCTAATTTACAAAGATGTTATTCTACTTTAGTAAACTAAGATATCTCTACGATTAAGATTTTATACAATAATTTTACATTGATCAATAATTGATATATTTTTAATATTTATGAAATTATCATAAGTAATCATCATTTTACCAGTAGACACTAAACTGAACTAAAATGAATCTAAAATGAACCATGTGTATACAGGAAAAAAAATGCATACAGTAGGAAAAAACATTCTTAACAAATTTATCTATTAAACAAAGTCTTTCACCTTATCAAGACAAGCAGTTAACATTTGATTAGCCCAAGAACATGAATTATTTTACCCAAAATCATGCTCTAAAAGGAATGCATGTTTCTACATCATAAAAACAACATCCATACATTGATGTATGGAAGATGAAGAAATGCTGTACAAAAATATGCTAATGCATTGTTTTTTTTTGTTTGAACAATGTTTAGAGACTGATAGCAATAACATGATAAATATGATGATTATCTTCATGTGTGGTACTAATGGATTTTTTTAGTTGGAGTTAGCTAGATAGAAAAAAATCCAATTAATGATAGGATAATGCTATCTATTAGACACATGCACTAAATGCACTCAAGTGTATGTATGCTAAGTGGTGTAATTATAACAAAATTATAATTTTATGTTAAGGTAATTCAAAAAGAATATGTGATTGTGTGATAAATTCACACAGTTGAATTTATACTACTTGTGTAGTTCTTYGTTGYGTTATAMGAATTTTCATGTGACAGCAAAAGTTTCTTCTCCCCTTCATCATCTGTAATTGTTGCTTGTGGTCGTCTATGTCTGGTCGTCCGTCTATCTTTTTGTATAGTTGCAGCGTCAAGCTCCAGTCTGGTGTATTTTTCCTTGAACACAAAAAGTAAGGGGATGCAGAGTCCACAGATGGCCACCATGCACCAATTCATCCACATAGTTCCTGGTAATTTGACATATTACAATATAAGTATACTGTCTTCAAATGTAATGTGCCGGGAGTGGAGGAAGGGAATGAAGATTGAACTTTTTATGATATTATTGGACTTTGATCTTACCAACATTTGGAATCATCAAACAACCCAAAAAGATGAGACATGCAAGATGGTTTGATGTTGTTATTACTGACATAGGAATACCCTCAGCAATAGGGTATGTTGTTTCTACTGTCAGCTCGTAGAACAGAGGTATAGACCCATTGATGAAACAACCACCAAGAACTGCAGATACGTACAGCCAGACTAGCAATAGAACAAGAGTTAGTAATTGAATGTGACTTACTGATGGTAGACAGACCTAGGTGATGAATCCATTGTCTATAACCCTCAATCATCATTTACACAAGCAAGTCTTCCTTGACAAGTTATCCTTTACAAGGGAAAATTGCTCACTTGTAGATGAAGTAAATTAGAAAATGAATATATATAATATATTTTTTTGTCAAGGAAATGACTTTTATTTCTCTCATTGACAAGGAAAAATTATCAAGCCGGATAAAATTGTTCATGTAGATGGACAACAAGTAAAATGTGGCAAGGAATATCAGGCATTGTWGGCACGACCTTATCTTAACAAGCAAGGAAATTCTGTCAATAGAAAATTGTCAAAACGTATGTGCTGATTGTCTAAGCAAGCAATGGAAATTGTCAAGGAAAACTTACTGGTGTGAATTCTTAATTTTGACTTTCTGAATTTATAAAATATTTACCTTTGCTAAAGGGGATTATATGTTGACATAACATCGAAAACCAAAGAAATGATCCAGTTGATCCAAAAAATAAGAAAACAAGAAAGCATTTCATTCTACCAGAAAAGAAATCTGCAAATCTAAAAGAAAGTATTCTCAGTCAATGCAAGATATTTAATGTCTTATTGTCATGCTGTAGTTTTAATAAGACATACCTTGCCATCACCATCCCTAGAACACATCCTGCCATATTTGAATAAAACCCAATCCAACCAGCGGTATCCTGCAACCAAATTAATGAAATTAAACAAACAATTCAGAAGAAAGCAAAAGTAGTGTTCACCTGCACTTGACCTTCCTTTATTCAATTTTCATATAACAATGTTCTTAMAACAAAAGGTATTTAACCAGGGAATACAGGAATAAGAATTAAGAAAAGGAAAGATAAAGAGGTTGTGAATGATCATTGACATTTTTGGATGCACAAAAATGAGAATATACAATATWATTTACCTGTTTTACATTAAATGCCAGAAGATTGACAGCCAGAACTCCTCCCCATCCACTAAATACACCTATAATAAGATAATATTAATATTAGAAATTGGTGCAGTTCAAACATTGATTTTCTAATATTTTACCATACCTGTAGTAGCTCCATAAAGTATATTTAAGATCCAAAAATCTTTGTTTCTAGAAGGAAAATCAAGAGAGATATTGACATGTGTCTAATAACTATCTATAAAAAATAATTCTATAATAATTTCTCAATAGCTCTCAAACTGGGCATTCTATAATAATTTCTCAATAGCTCTCAAACTGAGCAGTTTATTGTAAAATATCTTCTTAAGGTGGCTCCATGTAGTTTCAAAATATTGTAACATGGACAACAAATTGTGAGAACCAAACTATTACAATGCATCGTTCTCTAGCAACTTCAAATGTAAACTCCACAGATTACTTCTTGTTTTGATTAAGAATCAATTGATATGTATATTTTTAAATACCTTAATAGTTTTTTTCCACCTTCAACATAGTCTATCTTAGTCCTGGCTGCAGAGAAACTTGGTGGATGAGGTGGTTTGGCTGGGAAGTACRCCAAGCAACACAACAGTATGAAAGCACTAATACCAAACTCTGAAACAAAGRATTGTATATGATKGATGTACTTAAACCACAGCTAAAACGTTAAATTTCATAACTAGACTTACAACTCTCCCTCTCTCTTTCACTCTCATACTATAATTTAGATTTCTTACAGACCATATGAAAAACGGCAAGGTTATCGTAACGCCTGAGTTTATAAGTTGCATAATATATCATTACTACCCGTTGAAAGAACATATTATAATGAATGAGATCTGAAAGTYTCAATGTTTTTACAATTACTGTAAGGACCAGAAATTACATGTGTTTGAAATTGCAAAGGTTTGAGTGAAATCTGTATCAAGGCCTTACCAGCCTCGTTTTTGGTACGTTTTAAGTCCTCGTGGCTCTGTCGACATTTCACCATTTGAAACCAAAAATACAAAAATTCACTAGTTTAAATATACTCTTTCTTATCGTGAAAACAGAGTTGTAAAAACATGSACCGTTTAAGGTACTCATCCCCAGTCTTCTGCTCRTTTTTCATATGGTCAATAACATTGAATAATGGAAACACAATGGTCTGTCATTCTCATATACTATATAGTTATAATATTGTCAGTCGTGGATACAGCTAGTGGCTGGAAGGGGTGAACACATTCTCCTGAGACATTCTATCCTTTTTACTTCGCTCTGCATTATTTTTTCGATGTGATCATTTTGTAGATTGTACCCCTTCATCATGACTGGCCAACACCCAGCCTGCACCCCTCCCTGCGTAAAATTGTGGATCTGCCAATGATAGCTATATTACATAACAATTCGGCAAAATCTTTTATCATACTAATGTTTACTTTTATCCCACATATAAACATTTTAACATACCTACCTATGTACAAATATAATTTGATATTATTTCTAGCGACATCAACAGCCTCACTCCATGACATATCTTGGGAACTTGAACCTTTAGAAACATGCACAAGTTAAATTCATGTTGTAATAATTATATGAAAATAAGGTAAACTAAGCTAATGGAATTTTGTTATACAATCAAACCTATTAGATAATCTGGATTAAAGGGACTCAGATGGGGGTTTGAATTAACTTTTGTGTAATTATGTCATTTCTAATTTGTGTGAACTGTTTTATACAAAGAAGGTATGTTGCTTGTTGTTTAGAACTTGTTATTTGTAAAGGCACACATACCATAAGAACTARTGTTCACGGCACTTCCATTGGTCATGTTTGGTGCAAGAGGYGTGATATCATTCGGATTTAAAATAAATGGTGCTACCACAAACGATATAGAAATTCCAATGTAACTAGTTAATGTGGAGATTGCTGTTGCTGTAGCACGTTGATTAGGTGGAAACCATGTTGATGACACCAAAGGTGGAGCACCCATRGCTACTGGAGCACCAAGGTCATTAAAGAATTGACCAAGATGAATTAACCTATTAATGATAAAAAATAAATACAAATTACATTTTCTCTGGCAGATTGAATTTTGATTTTTGAATTCTTAGGCTTCTAAAATGTTATTACTAAAATTATCATTAATATTAATATTAACGAATTATTAATATTATAAAGAATCAAAAGATATTTTGCTTTTTGATCAGTTGCAGATTTTAATACAAATTTGCGCAATTTTTATTGTTTGCAATTTCACGTATAAATGCGTTCCCTATCGATGTGATCACAAAATTGTTTTTGTCTGCCCAGACAGGAAAGTTCTATAATGTCCGCAATAATGGGGTCAATTACAAACAAAAGAAACACCTCTAAAGTGTGAAATGGTGTACAATGCAAACAATAATATCAGCTCAAATTGCAAGCAAAATTGTACAATAGTCATTTGCACATGAATACGCAAAATAACAAAGACAAAAAAGTTACCATGTTGCTGTCTTGGGTTCTGTAGTTACGCATCGTAATCCAGTCCCAAGAGTTATCAGAAATATCGTCACTAACACCGATGCACGAAGACCTGAATGTTTTTACACGAAAAAAATACAAGGTCAAGCATCCTTATTATGATCATTATTTCAAAAAAAATATTTACACCAATGTTAAGATTTCCACAAATCTTTAATTATATGGTCAGAATTGTGAATGTMCAAATTGGTATTCCTATGAACTGCCCATTGTATAGTATTCTGTCTGGTGGGCATGTGGAGACAACTATTGCGCAAAACAACACAACGGGCAACTTTTTGAACATGGTTCTTTGAACATCGCTTTATGAAATTTTCTCCTAACATTACCTTTCACGTCCATTAGCCAAGAAAATAATAAGAACGATAAAATGTACGTAATGGGCCCCCAGTTCTCCAACAAAGCAATAGTACCATCGGTCCACCCATACACAGCTTCTGCCGATCCAGCWATAGGCCCCCATGTATTCCAAACACAACCTTGAAGACCGGACATTAAAGAGAAGATTATCAAAATATACCAGCGCCGGTGATAAACTCGACATTTGTGGTCTATTGTACTGTGATATGAGGTCGTTTCTCGAAGGCTTCGAGAGAAGCTYAAACATCGATCAGCCATTGCGAAAAGTGTGCTCTTCTGTTTGTATCACGTAGATCACACGTGTTTCTAGTAACAATTAGACACAGGGAGCCCACAATTGTGTCTATGTTCCTAACTCAAACCGATTGATTGCTGCTGTGACTATGTAGTTCTAAGTAATGCCAAAGAATGCATTTTATTTGCTCTTTATCAGTTGCGGGTTGTAGAACTACTATACTTCCTTACAGTGGGTGGAAAACTTCACATCATGGGAATAWGAAAAAAATTGAGGAATATAGGTAATATAACCCCGCCTAATTTGTTTGTCACTCAGACTAAAAAGGCAAACCATGTTCTGAATACTCTTCAATAAATCTATGTAAATAAAATATTTCTGTATTTTTGCTGTCTATTCACTTTTAAAAGTGCAAATGCTCGATTCCTCTATGGCAATATTTTTTTGTATTGACTCTCGAGAGTTTCCACTCCACTGATCTATAAGACGTCGTCATGACCACCATCACAGTTGAGTGGTCGAAAACAAGATGTGACCATTCTACAGATATATAAACAAAAAAGATTGCGTTTTCCATATTAATGAGTTCAATTTACGCTCTGACTTTGCTGGGCCATAGTTGACATTRTAATTCTAGTGCAAATAAGTTCAGCAAAAATTAACTCGCCTGTTATCCATGCACATGCATAGGCACTTTATTTCCTGGAGCGGCCATAGTCTTCTTTAAATCCATTCGACTGTTCAACAATGTCCGAACAGAATTCGGAAGAACCCGCGTCAACTGAATTAAAAGAATTGAGTGCAGACCACTGGGCTTCGCATAGCAATAATGTCACGGCTTTGGAGAATGGTGCCCATGATGTAAAATATGTCGTCGATGCTGATGAGGCTGAAGGTAAAGTATACTCAAAGTACCAATTACTATATGTTTACACAGCGTCACACTTTTGCCTTTCTTTCTCTTTGGAGAGCTGCAGTGTTAGTAAAACAGAATGGCTTTTATGTCAACTAAGCTGTCGCGCGTTTTATTTCCTGGACTGACATGACCGCATCTGAGATTTGTGCGGGTTTCTATACTCCTTCCGAATCAAAATCGCTATATATATTTATACAATAAGTGTTAGTGCTAACGGAGATAGTTGAGTTGGTGTGCCATTTCACTTCATATCTTCCTTGGTCAAAAAGTTAATCATAGTCCTCACCTATGACACTGCCGTCAACTGAAACGGATACATTTCATGGCTTTATGCTGAAGTGGCCATCAGTACAAGTCAGTGATTAATGGGTTAGTGATACCAGTCGGTATAGTGATTATAAGGAAGGCTGTATAGGTAGTGCGCAGAACAAGTCCGAGAAGTTACGTAATCTTTTTTATTTCTTTGCTTTTACTGATTTGAAAGTTCTARCAATCCCTTCGTTGTTTAAAGAATCAATGATTGATAAAATCAGATTCGGAAGATGTGTACTGTCATTCATAGGAATGATATCATGATACTGGTACATGAAATACTTGAGAAGCCACTGAATCAAGTGCGAGGTCATTGTTGTTGTTTTTGATGTTGACGATACTGACGGAAGCAAGAACTAATACTAATTAATGAAACGTATCTGATTGAACATTTCCTAAAAAAAACATATACATTTTCTTTACCACCGACCATATCTTTTAGTATATAGGCGGCCATCTCAGATGTTGGCATATTTTTGCCTCTTCATACCTTTTAGCGCGGAAACTACAATCGGCAAAGTCATTGAATCGGTGCATAGGCTAATGAGCTCGCCCAGTTAGTTCTATAAAAACAATAATAATAGTAATAGTAACAATGAAAGGTTTTTCTCATTGCGAAGGGATCATAATCAGTAGTTGATGGTAATAATTATACTGTAATATACGAGAGTGAAATGATTCCATTTTTAGAGACCGCCAGTCAGTTCCATAGGTGCGCAAGTATACAATGTCAATGCTTTTTTACGTGGAGCTGGAACTCGGTGAGGTTAAGAATTCGGCTTCCGGTGACTAAATCCTTTTTCCTTCTCTTTTTTTTTAATTCCCAGTATTTTTATGTATTTATGGAAGCGTACGAGTAGTGTTGCTATTAATATATAACTCGTAATGTGAATCGCTCTGATTTGATACAATTCTCAACCATTTCTCTCAGAAATGATGATRTAGAAACTGTGCTGTATATGTATAAAACTGTGTATACCCGGCCTGGTCCAAGTAGAGCTTCAATTTTTCCAGTCTTCGCTATTTGGTTTTGTTAGCGTACTCAAGCCTGCGTAGGAGATCCCAACATAAACAGCGCTTCACGTCAACAAAAACAAGTAGCGAAGAGTGGAAAAATCGAACCTCTTGGACCAGGATGATAACTGTGAGAACATGAGGGCTCAAACAGATTAGCTGCCCACCGGACTTTTAATCATTTGTCACGCATGCGTATACGATCGGTGTTTACCATTGTCACTGTTTTGAATGAAAAAGATTGAGTCGTTSAATGTAAATGACAGCACATTCAGCAGGTTCTTTGAGGGCTCAATATAAATTAAGATAGACCATTGTTCAGTTAGAATTAACCATAAATGTCTACGGTATCACTGTCCGGAGCTGCATCCATCCAAGAAGGTCGAGAAGGACTACTTCTCAATGATATGGTTAATTTCAAAAAAGGTAACGTTGACGAAAAAATATCGATCGCACCTGTAAAACTCTAGAGACACGACAAAAAGAGTCGTTCTAATATTTTTTGCCTTCTCAGCTTATAAGTTTTTAGTGTTTATTTTCCCGAGCATTTTTTTTTTAACCCAAGAAAGTAGAGTGCGAGAGGTAGAGGAATGAGAGGAGAAAGAGAGTCKTGCACCTGATCAATTACGTAACTCGACCATATAATATAAACATATTATATGCCACGAGGAACTAAATGTCATCTCTCCTTCTTTTCTTATCACTTTTTATGTATCTATTCCTATTTCTGGAATTATTAAGTATATTTGATGTACGAATCTATGGATTTAAGTGACAACCATTTGTTACGAGTTGAACTTTAACTGGCCGCGGCCGAAAGATGGCGGGATTCCTGTGGCGTATGTATGTGACAGCTCTTGAATGCAGACTGTTGAGCTCATGATGAGGTGCCTGTCGAGATGCTAACCAAACAATCCACGTAAAACTGCGCTGCAGTTCTTTACAGTTTGTTGCCTGAGAGATGGAGGTTGATAGCAAGCCGAAAGCTAATCTTGTCCATAATGAAATCACTCCAGATAATGTAGCTAATGGTAGATTTGTTATAGCTAACCCTGCTGTTGGAGCACTAGCCAGTGGCGGGGAAAATTTGAAAAGATCCACTCTCTCTTGGAAAGGAATTAATGTATTTGCCCCAATCGACCGTGGCTCGATTTGTAAAAGACTTTGCTGCAAAGGCGGGGAAGCAGAGGAGCCAGGCATCAAACAGATTCTSTTTGATGGTAAGTTTATGTATTAAAACTATCCAAAAGGTTTARCCTAGTTTTGTGTGCTTAGTGAAACTATAAGAAGTTAATAAACTTGTCTTTGGCATTACGTAACGACTCGAAGGCTTATTAGTCCGAGGGTCATGCAGTTATAAGCTTACATGTAAGGTTATGTWAGTTAATAGTTCTCTAATTAAGAAAAAATACACATTTAGTAGTGCCATTCGAAGTTCAGACGTCGATCTTTTGTCGCTTATTGCTCAGTTGAATCTATAATCATTTTCTGGTACTCTGAATTTTTGCTTTGTGACAGTGGACGATTTACTTCAGTTTGGCGAAGGTATTATAATTCGTAAAGGTAAATTGATGTAGACAGCAAAATTCAAGTGAACTACATGCATTAAGCAATTAAATTAGACGCAGCTCTGAGATCGACGTCTGAACCGGCGTCTCGTGAGTTTTGTATTCCCAGGGGACKCGGGTTAYTGTAGTTTGCAACGTCACGTAATGTCAAAAAAGGTCGTATAATAAGACTTGTTAGAATGCAAAGATTTGGCCTTGCAAATAATTTGTTCTAGAAATTCAATGCAATTCACCATAATAAATCAAAGGATTTGCCAGTGACAAAGCCTGCATAAATTTGAATAACTTTGGGTCTCCAGGAGCAGCAAGAGCAGTCAAAAACCATTAAATTGTATAGATTTGAATGTRAATAGCTTGGTGTCTCCAGGAGCAGCTATAGCATTTCAAAAATCTTTGGTTTGTCTCCATTTATATGAGTTCATGGGGCAGTGATTTGCAAACAACATKMWTWWKSCMRRWTTWRGKT